CGTTTATATTACTTCTTTAAAATACGAATAATAAGATATAGCTTCGCAAAGTTTTTAAATATAAGCAATATATAACAATATAGTGCTTTTAAAATCAAATATTTTATGTACATTATTGTTTTTAAATAAATAAACTTGCTTCAACTTTTGTTAGGAAACAACTCGTTTTGTTAGGAAAATGTGGACAAACGAGTTTGTTTCTATAAAACATGTAAATTTGTCATGTAAGTGTTATCAGAGATATTCCAAGATGCTACAACATTTATATGAATCGCTTTAAAGTCGATTCTCAATGCGTAATGAAAAGCGCAGTAAAATGCAGAATACTTATATTATACCTAACCTAACATAACCTAACATAAACATATACTAATTATATTGCAGAAGGTAAAATATATTTCATGGAATGTATTTCATATATTTAATGATTCTCTTTGTGTGTAAGTGGTAAATTTTATACAAGAATAATTATTAGTAGATAATGTTCGCTGGAAAGTATTGAGGCGGCAAAAGAGAAAAGAAAAGAACAAAAAAAACTATATGTAAGAAGAAAGAAATTGATATTGCATAACATTCCGATACAAAAAAATATAATTTCAAGAAGTACAGAAAAACAGGTTTTCGGAAAGATAATTATTTGCAGCTACGTTTACAAAAATAAAAAAAACAATCAATTTCCCGAAAAATATGTAATACAAATGAAAAATTGACATCTCGCTAATCTCCCATTTCGATCAATTTATTTGTTTATAATTAAAGCATTTCGGCCACAAATGGACAAGAAATTATAAAAATTATATTTGCAAAATTATCAAAGTAATTTTAAGAACATCTTATTGTTTTTACCATTTAATAATTAACATTGCCTATTTTATATAACATTTAATGGAACTGTTAATTGATTGATCAAATAAAAATTGTTTAAGAAGAAGAATTATATAAAAAAAGCCTATAATGTTTGGTAGAAGTTCTTTCTTTAACAAATAAAATCTAAAAAAATGTATTTTTTTAATAATGTAGTTAATATTATATCTGAGTTATTCTGTTTAGTTCTTATTCTGTTTGATTCAATATAAAAATTGATAAAACATTCTACATGCGTAGAAAGATTGAAAGATGAAAGGAAATTTAATTAAGAATTAAAAAGTCATGTAGAAGCAGTAATTATACTATCATGGAATAAAAATATTTCGCGCCCGTCGCATAAGACAAGAAACGGAAATGAAGAAATAAATAATAAGCACGCTCGCGAATCATGATTTATCCGTGCACGAAGCATCAGCAGATCAAGTCGCAATATTTCTCATTATTCACATCTTCATTTTGCATTTTTCAATCAGCGAACTATTGCCAGCGTTGTCGATTAAAGAAAAAAAAAGAAAAAACTAAGGAAGAGAATGTCTTCCTTATGATCCGTTTGATATCATCCCGATGTTAATAAGCTTACTTTCTCATCACGAATCATCATTCCGCAGTGCCATTTCAAGCATCAATTATCTCTATACGGATAATCTCTATATAGACAAGACATGCCGCGTGTTTTAAACTACGAATACGTGATGCAAAACATAATAATGTCTGCGAAATAATTTTTGTATGCATTATTGCTGATTTTATCTTTATTTAAATCTTGTACATTTCATTGATTTTTAATCCGATAAAGAAAATATAATAAAACAAATCACAAAGTTGGCAAGTAACTATTTTTAACTATATGTGTATGATATATAAATTTTATTTTATAAATATAATAAATTTTATAAATTATTAGAAATTATAAACTATAAATGTATAAATTATAAAAACAAATAATGTTAAAAAAATCATGAGAGTTATTATAGAAAGACTGATATGATCAATTATTATAATGCAGAATTTGATATAATCTCCAACTACATTAACATTGAAAGATAAATTGAATTTTTTCTCATTATATTTACAGTATAATCAAGTTATTGTTTCAGGCTAATTAGTCAACAGCTATTGATATAGAAATTCATGAGAATATGAGGAAGCGATTTTACAGCGATGAGTATGATACGAGAATTTCTCTTCATTTGCGGAAGAGTTATGAAAAGATTAAACATCGCGGGAGAAGCATGAAGGAGCCTCTGTATTCGGTGAATTCGAAACCTCATATTACACCATCGATTATGATGATGACCGTATTGGAAACTCCTAAAGCAAACGAAACGAAATTAAAATGAAAGATGCAATGCATCTGAACAAAGAAGAAAATTATCTTTATTTATCATTACTTCTTTCATAGAAATAAAAATAGATAATTGTGAAATTAATGTTTAATGTTAATCAAATTTATTTATTACATTTTTGTTAAGAATTGAGTAAGGGAAATAAAGGATTTGTTTAATGATAAAAATAATAATCATTTTAAAATTCTTACGTTTAATTCATACGTTTAATAAATATTTAAATTACTTAAAATGTCTATTG